TAATAATTATAGACTGCATTTATGTAGCGCTCTATCCCATACTACTACAAGCTTTGAGCGCTTAACACAAATCACATGACCATTGTCACAAGACAATATTATACTTCACAGAAACAAGAAAAACCAGTTCAACCACATTAAGAATAACTTTCATTACACATTAACTATAGATCTATATACGAAAGGACGGCAGTAAGAAAAAAAAAAGAAAATGAGTTGAATGACAATGAAAAAAAAGGACAAATTCATTTTAGAAACAATTTCTAATAATTACGAACTGTAAACGAATTATAAACAAGATACATTTATTGCCTATACTCTCGCTGTCTTTGTTCAGTAAGCAGCAAACTAACAAGTCACCATAGTATTTTTTTCCATTAATTCTTTTAAGCTCATATGTAAGTCTGGGGGTGTGTGTGAGAGCCTTGATTTAAGTGCAAAACTGCCAGTGAGAACCAGAGGCTAAAAGATTCTGAGTAAATGTTTACTACTCGACATTGACATAATGATTTAGCAGCGTATCGAAACTATGAAACAACACCAGTCATAACGCAGCGTAAGATAAGGAAAAAATAAAGGGGAATATGTCAGCTTTTATAAACATACAGTATCTTCGACCTCGTGAGAGGAGTAGCTTTTTACTGAAAACAACAACAACAACAAGTTTTGGGTCTGTCTTGAAGAGGACATCTTTGCAGGTAAAACATTTTGGTAAAGAAGCTTGAAAGGGGCCTCTCGTGGCCTAGAGGTTAAGGCGTTCGCCTTTCATTCAAAGGTCCCGGGTTCGAATCCGGGTAGCGACCGAAACATTTGCTTCTCTAAAATTGTCTCCTTTCACCTCTTTACCTGCTCTCTAGAAATGTTTTGTGAAATGTTCTGTTTTCAGCTTTCGTCTCCAAGTTCTGTCCCCACCCCCTCACCCCCTTTGCCCCCTCCTCTGGGCTCATGACTCTTTCTGCAGCCTTTCTACTGCTACTCCTTGGCTCCTTCTTACTAATGTCTTTCAGCCACACCCCTGATCTTCTGGTAGGAAAGATCTAAGCCTAACCTTCTCGAACAAGGGCGAAAAATCTCAGAGGTCCCGTGTGCAAGTTGCTAATGTTAAAGGTCCCTTGGTGGTCTAAAATCGATAAGAGTAGGCTCTGCCCGCCACCAGGGCAAAATTCAAAATTTCCTACAAACTGAAAAATGTTTAATGTGTCTCGCGCGCTCATATGATCGTATACAGTTGCAAGCGCCGTAAAACACTGAACAGAAGAAGAAGCTTTAAAAGGTTTATTTATATTATCCGTAAAGAAGTTATTGACCGAGGTAACATACGTTTTAGAAAATGTATTGTCCATGATGCATACTACAGACATAATGTGAGTGTGTATATTTGGAGGGTGCTCTGATGTGTTTTGCTCCTTTTTTCCTATCAAACATCCATTGTCCTGATCTCTCCGTTTCCCCTTTTGTGTTTGTAACTCTCTTATAAAGCCTCCACACTTCCTGGAACTTATATGACTTTGTTGTGTTGTAAGTGCCGTTAAACATTAACTAAAACTGAAGATATAACGTGTGCTAAAAGAAGTTATTGTGCGCTCTCATATGACCTTAGCAGTTGCGAGCGCCGTAAAACCTTATACTATACATACATACAGAAGTTATTGTTCCTGATAACTTTTAATTTGTTGTTACAATTGAGGTCTTGGGTACAGAGCAACCTAACTAATATCTCAGTGAGAAGATAGGTCCTGAAGAGGTTTCACAAGTTAAAAGTAAAAAACTAATAGCAAGTGGCGGAACTACAGACATATAGGGTGTGCGGAGAATTTTTTTGGGAGAACACTCACAGGCAAACTTGACAGTCTTGGAGACAGAGGGACCTGCTTGGCCCAGAGAAGACACAGAACGACAAGTCAACGTCTCGTTAAAACTGTTCTCTGAAATGTCAATTTATAAAACACATTCAATTCTCTCTTACTAAAGACGGGAATGTTCACGTAACGAATATGTACCTTTACCATCCTTGTCAGGGGTAAAATTAGCGATAAAATAGCTTTTAAAATTAGATTTGGTTACTTCCAAAGCTCAAGTGTTATTGGGAAACTGCAAATTTATATTTATTTTATGCCTTTAATCATCGGTTTTCAGTCAAATTCAACAGGAATATGTTATTAAATGAACATAAGGTGTTAACTCAAAATAAAACATTCGATAAAAAAAAAGCCCAGCAGGAGGAAAAAAGTCGGTATCTTTGATTTTGTTATTTTAACGAGATCCTGAATTCACCGCAATGGAATTAATTTTCTAACTCACCAGGATTAGTGACATTCCCTGAAGCAATTGTCCCTGAGCCCAAGGTAGACCCGCCCTGAGACAGAACAACTGTGCCTGCAGGAAAACCCTCAGTTTTCTGACGACATTCACAAGTGGCTGTTGACCCGGACATGATGTAGTCACCGCTGACCTTTGATCCAGAAGGACAGTTAGCGATTTCAGGGACGGGATAAGCTGATGAAACAACGAAAAAGACTTGTATTGACCCACACTTCAGTCTAGGTTTAC